TGTTCATCTCTTGGTTTCTTCCCCGAAGAACTCGCTCTCTTACCTCTCCACCTTCTGAACGAATCAGGACGCTTGCGCTTAGAGCTCGAAGGCCCTTGTGAGCTAGAACCTGCATAGTAAATGTCAATTACCGGCTTATCCGCCAAGAGGCGGTCCTCCTCTAGCTCTAAGTGGCGCATTGCATCTTCAAAGGTTTTGATGTTCTCATTGTGAGTTAGGTGCAACTTCATATGCTCCCAACTTTGAGGCAAAGAACGAATCACTGCTTGCACTTGCTGCTCATCAGTCAAAACATGGCCAGCATCCTTCAACTCATTAATCATGTTTGACATTTTCCTTAAATGTTGTTTCATGGACTGACCATGTGACTTCTTATATGAGTCAAATCCAATAGTGAGCTGTCTAAGCTTGGTTACAGATGTATGACCAAACCTTGCTGCCAATGCTTCCCACATCTCCTTAGCATTTTCAAAACGCCTAAACTCTCGCATGACATCATTTTCCATGCTACTCGAAGAACGTGATGCGAGCAAGGGAGTTCTTCCTCTTCCATACAAAAATGCATCCTTATCTCTCTTATGTTGTGCGTGTTTCCGTCTTCGGGCTCTACCATAACTAGGTTAAGAGCTTCAAGAGCCTCTTGCTCTTCCAGCACATATTGGATTTTCATATGCCAAATTTCATAATTATCACCGTTAAGCTTCTCTCCTTTGTTCAGTTCAGCAACTATATTCTTTGATGCTGAAGTCATGGTATCTGAACATTTCAGATATATACGCACGAATTATTAATGCCACTCATTTATGCATCAATTTTACAAAAACTGATTATATTAATGGATAATTTCACATAGGCTTTAGATTCGAAAGTTCACTATGTTCCCAATCATCATCAAAAATCCTAATGTGAAATTACCGTTAATGTAATCATTAAAGTAAAATTACGTTCTTTAAAGTTACTAAAACTTTTAGAACTCCCACTCTACCAGATAATATTAATAAGACAGATATTATAATAAAATAGTACCATAAACTATTCACAATAATAAATATCCATCAACATTCAATCACTAAGTACTATTTACATTAGGAAAGAAACTAGCATAGAAAAGAAACATGAACATCAACGTGAACAGAAATATCCACCTAGGATATCTTAAACCGAACTAAAATAACATAGAAGTCAACGATTCCTAACTATCGTAAGAATTAGGAAAAGACTTAAGAAAAACTTCATTGTCAGAACCCTTTGAAAGATCGATAGTCGTATCGGTTAGCCATGAAAAGACCATCGGAAATCCCTTGGGTTTTCCCCATGGCGCATTTATTTTGCGCCAGGATGAGTTCATCCCAAGAGTTGACGTCTTCTTCGCCCCAATCCTTATGAATTCCTTTAGAAAATCCACAGCAAACTGTTTGTATTCTGGAATCCATGGATCACCCCCGTCATCCCATCCACCATCCTCAAAAAATATTATCTCCGGACCCTTCCACAAATCATCAATCAGCATTTTCCACTCATACGGAAGAGTGGTTCTTAGGGCATCAATCTTTTCTGAATCCAACATATGGTATCCATTCGAGATGATATCCCGTATTATCTTGTTAACCTTCATAATGTGCATATCCATGTGACATCCATCCCACCGATAAGTAGCTAAATCAGCTTTTAATTTCGCAAGAGTATTCATTTGTTCATCCATCCTCACGACTATCGGTGTGTGTCAATGGTACGCCTTTGTTCCTGCAACAAATGCAGAACAATAAAGGATTAACATATAATCCATTGAACATCACAATAGACATTTCAATATGCACATATTGCCACCGAAAAAACGCTCCAATTCAAGCTTCCACGCAATTTTTTTTTTTTTGGTGGTCAACGCCGGTCAACGTCGGTCAACGCCGGTCAACGATGGTCAACGCAGTCAACGCCGGTCAACACCGGTCAAAGAAGGTCAACGCAGGTCAACGGTCAAACGGATGACCGGGTCAAGTCAACGGGTCACATGGGTCGGGTCACGGGTCGGATCGGGTTTCCGGGCCGGGTCCAAATCAACCGGGTTGGGCAACCGCGTGGCTGATGTCAGCGTGACGTCAGCCACGCCGCACACGCCCTCATGGCGCGTGCGGTGCACGCGCGCGGGGAGGAACCACCACGCACGTGCCGGCGAGACCGCCACTTGCGGCGGCGCGTGTGGGCGCGTGCGGCTCCTCCCGGCGGCGTGCCACCCATCAAAATGCTCGTTTCGACGAGTACTACGAACCTACGCCTTCAAAAAATAATTTTGACTCACGGAAATCGAGAAACGACCTCGAACAGTACGGCCGGGTGTCGGTTTTTCGTACCCGAGCGTTCGTCGGCGCCGTTTCACGAATTCCGGCCAATATTCCGTGTTATGCACACTAGCAACGATCAGGAAAACAAGAACACATGCTCTGATACCAATGACGGAAACAGATTCCTAAACATAATACATAATTTGCGGAAAAACGTGCCCATTCTACGCTTGAATCACCGATCGTTTGAAGTATATTACATGAACGAACATACCTCTTTTGCCACAGATTAAATGCACCACTTGCAGGCTTGAGAGTTCTTGGCGGATTCCTCTGCGACGGAACTTTGTTTGCACTTTGGGAGACTTTTTTAGAACTACGTTCTACGAGAGAAGATTTTCGGATACACAATCACATATCTTCCGAATATCTCCGGTTCAATTTAAACTGCCCTAGCGATTCTACTTTATCCGTAACCGCCTTATCCGCAAGTAATCCCTCAATGGATGATGGGCCGGCATGATAGATCATGGACCGGTCTTTCCCAACATGGGCGGCCCACATAAGATCCATCAAGGAGGTTTTGGCAGTGACTGAAGCTCACTACAGTAAAGTAAATCGAGGTGGTCGAGATTAGAAAGCTGATGGAAGTTTTCCGGCAAGCCAGAAATTTTCGCTCTACCTAAACGAAGGGTCTTTAGAGAAGACAATCCACCTATATCTTCAGGAATTTGTCCCTCCAGTTTATGGCAGCCTGAGGCATCCAACTCTTGGAGGCTTTCCAATTCTCCAACGGCGCTCGGTAACTTTTCTATCTCGCTGTGAGAAATCCTCAAAATTTTCAATTTGTTCAATTTGCCAATGGATACGGGTAATTCCTTAATCCCTGTTGATAACAAGTCCAACTCAACCAACTCTCCCAACTCCCCAATTGAAGAAGGGATCTGTTCCAACATGTAGCAGCGCACTAATGACAAGCGCTGCAATTTCCTAAGGGCCTCGAAGGAGTCCGGAAGTTCTTGTAATTTTTTACAGGTGTTCAAGTTGAGGGTCGACAAATTTACTAGACTGCTTATTGAGTTGGGAACTTGATAAAGTAGACGGCTACCCACGGCACTAAGCATCTTCAGCTTCTCCAGAAATTCTATACATTGAGGGATTTCTTGTATATCAATCTCATCTACGAGAAGTTCCTCCAATTCTTTTAGTTCACCTAGTTGTGCAAGTAACTTCTTAAGACTCCCACAGTACCTCAAGTTCAAGGAAAGGAGGCACTTGACATGTCCAATGGAAGGGTTGAGTTCCTCCAAATTCTCACAGTTCTCCAGGATTAGCCCCTCTCTAAACTTTTAAACACGGAGAGATTAGGGGTTCTCTTTAAATGTGAGCACCACGAAAGATTGAGAACTTTCAACCTCTCCATCTATAAGAAAGAAACATGTTCCAAGGTTAGCTGATGGAAATAGAATGATTTATCATTGAATGTAACAAAAGAGAAAGCGTTTCTCATCTTTACCTTGATTGAACTCCATCCTCCCTAATCATCACGAATATTACAACCTGATAAATCAAGCACGAGTAATTTATCCAAATGAACATTGGTCGCATCAAAAGAGTTAGGACATCTCTCCCACTTTAGCCATCTTAATTGAGTAAGTGATTCCTTAAAATTTCCACCAAATTCCACTAGACTCACATGAAGGAACTTCAGGTTAGGCATTCTTTTAAAGCTCTGTTGAGCCATTTTTGTCCAAACGTAGTGCCTCAATTTTTTCATTAACCACCTACAAAAAATTGAGGATTGTAATATCATCACAAGGCATCCCCTGTTCTTGACATGAATATACTGTCATCAAACTAGGAATAACATTAACCGGTAAATATTATTGCGGTGGGCTTTGGCGACCCAATCTATAGTATATAATTATCTGTATCAAAATTATCTATATAATCAACATGTGACCTAATGTAACATAGACTATATGCTAATTGAATATCACTTCCAGAAAACTATTTATGGTGTCCCTTTTCAGGGAAACGAGAATTTTCGGTTGTTGTTTCTTTCATAAAGAAGGAAGTGGGGTCTATTGATCTTCTCAATGTAATGCACAGCCTAAAAAACTCATGGATTAATGTATATATGCATTTTCTCTAGAAATGCAAGTCTTTGTGTATTTATTTCTTTGTCAGTCCACGGTTGTATGTCATCCAAGCTGTCTCTTTTTGTTTCATTAAAAAAAAGAATAATAGTCTCTCAAATTAGCACGCAACTAAACTAACTAACAAAAGAATAATAATTGAAAAAAACTCTCTTTTATAAAAGTGGGTTATTAATAACATAATCACATTAAAGCAAAAAAAAAATTCACATCATTAATGCTCCAAAGCCTATAAAAGTAGGTCAATAAAAAATAAGCACATAAATGATGTGGATTTATATTGGGAATCTCCTTAGTCTTTCTATTTTAGGTTTAATTATTGTCCTTTCCTTATAATACCCTTTACAATTCCCATGGGTGGCCAAATATATCAAATTTTTATCTGTTTGTGGCCAAGTCAGAAGACTAAGATCCGCAGAATAAGCGAGGTGGTAGGCTCTTGCTGGGGTTAAATAGTCTTTGTATACCAAGCATTGACTTTTTTGTTTTTGTGGAATGAGAAATTTATTGAGCAAACTGGCACTTGCAGTGGTTGTTACTGGAATGAGGTTGAAACTGGAGGTACGTTGTCAAGTTACTGTGTCTGAACGAATCTGACGAAGCTCTGAGAATGGACCGTGATGGAGATCCTCCGTGCGTAAAGAAATTCTTTTTCCATCACTTTAGGTTTCTAAAGCAGAATACCGGATTCGGCAACCTGTGATGAGACAATGCATTTCGGATTGACTTTTACTCCTAATCCGCGTTCTTGATAAGTTTTATGTTGTTTCTCTTGATCTGCAGATTCAGCAATGGACTGCATTTGGCAAACTTGGCTGTGTCATCGAATCTTCTTCAGGATTCATGGAATGACATATCCGAACTTGAGCGGAGAATCAACCAACACTTCCTCTTGCGTTGTGTAAAGAGGGTGTTTCCGCAATTTGAACCCGCGACCTTCCGATCATATGGGAATATCCCTGTAATAATCGATGAATTTCACCACCTGAAGTACAATATCATTGCTTTCGTCACCGCACCAGTTACTACAGGCCAACTTCAAGAAGAAAGAGATTTGGTTTCTTCATTGGATATCCCCGAATTTCACTTCCTATGCTCCGAAAACAATTCAACTTTTCATATAAACAAAGCTGCGATTTCTCTGTTCAACTCTCTTCAAAACAAGCTCTCTATACTCAAAGAAAAGGTAGCAATTTTTATATCTTCTCTCGAGTTATCCATTCTTATCATTACTAATATATGCTGTAAGATCATAAGTACGCATGTATCTAGGAATCACTACTTATAGAAATTGTTGCTGAAGTAGACATGCTAATAATTGCTCTGATTGAGGAATTTAGAGTTGTTTACCACTTATCGTTAAGCTTATTAGATGAGAAGTGAAGCACTGTTCTGCTATGGAAATGCCTTTTCTCACTGTTCTGAGCATTGTCGTAAAATTGAGGAGTGGATCATCAAATTGGTATTTTCATCCTATAAATTCATGAATCTTTCACTGAACTGAATCATATGATTGTGTGGAGTTTCATTTCATTTATTAACTGTGCATGTTCATCTTATCTGAAAGACTCTATTTGACACCTATAAGTTGAGAATGTGGATTGATGCTTATTCTGCTTCAATGCAGGTTGTAGCTTCAGCCAATTCTGAGGACTCTGTTCCCTATATTATTACAGGACACTGTTTGGGTGGATCCATCGCCTCCCTTTTCACATTATGGATTCTAAACAAGCTCGACGCAACGAAGAGAACGCTCCCCCTTTGTATCACTTTCGGTTCGCCGCTCCTCGGGGACAGTGCCTTCCAACAAGCCATATCGCAATATTCGACCTGGAATTCATGCTTCTTGCATGTAGTTCATAAGGATGATTGCTTCCCTAGACTATTCCTTCACCCTCCCACCACTAACCCAAGTCAATACAAACCTTTCTGTACATTTCTTTTGTGTTCTGAATCAGGTGCCGCCTGTTTTGAAGCCCCTGAGTCCGTCATGGAGCTGCTCACGTCGGAAATTGTTGTTGGAAACCGAGAGTCGCAAAGTGTTGATTATAAGAATGTCATTGGATGCCTAGAGCAAAGATTAATTCACTATGATTGTTCTCGGTTGAATGGTCAAGAAGCAGATTCATATAAAGCTGGGGTATTGGTCGGCCTCAAGTCAATTCAGGTATCTTAACTTGACCTTCTTCTCCAGGTTACATTCCATCAGGGGAAGTTTGCCTTATAGCAGATAGTTGTGTTGCTTGGAACCACACAGATATCCCACTTTTGCCATGTTGACCATGTTTTTACCTAATTAAAATGCCGATCAATTAATTCAGAATTTTAGCTGGATAAAAGGAAAACTTGCTGAAGTTGCAAGCTCTAAATGTTATGAATGCTTAAAAATTTTGACTGAGTGGACTCCCATTGCAATGACAGCAGCAGAATGAGGTCAGTGATGCTCTGATAGAGGACATAGTAAAGCATGAACGAGGCGTCATCAGACGACAAAGAGAGGCATTTGATCCTGCCAAGAAGTTGGACGAAATGAAAGTGTACCTGGCTTTCTTGGAGTGGTACATGAAGGTATGCAAAGCCAACGGCCAGGGTCCTGGTTACTATGACAGCTTCAAAAATGCACGAGAAAGGCGTGACAATGGAGTTGATAAGTACAAGACGATCCTCACGGATTACTGGGAGCGTGTGGTCACAGAAGCGGACAAGAAGCCTCAAGTATGGGGCACTCCACTGCGGAACCGTTGGCTCTTTGGAGGGACAAATTACCGGAGGATAGTTGAACCGCTGGACATAGCGGAATATTACAAAAGGGGCCGGAAGGATTACTTAAATCGAGGAAGATCCGAACACTACAAGCTGCTTCAAAAATGGCTGGAAGATCATCCAAAAGAAAAGTCCAAGGAGCAGGCTGGTCCTTCGAATTCGAAATTGAAAAACATCGAGTCGAGTGTGACGGAGGATTCGTGCTTTTGGGCACACGTGGAGGAGGCCATCCGGTCGTGCAGATTGCTGGAAAGCGGAGGATCATCAAACAGTTCCGAAAGAGCAAAACTAATCGAGTTTGAGAAATATGTTATGGGTTTGATCAAGGAGTGCAAGGTTTCGCCTGACATATTTCTGGAGAAAAGCAGCTATATGCAATGGTGGAGGGAGTATGTGGAGATCTTGAAGAGGCCAATGATGGGTGATTCTCAGAACTCACCACTTGTTGCTTTCATGGGGGATGAGCCCTACAAGAATTATGCTAAAGGTTCCCCAAGGATGTTTCAAGAGGGTCATTCAAATGTGAATCCACCCGATTCCTCAAATGCGAGTCTTAGGTCGACAGAAGGACGCAAAATCTCTCCCTCATCCTTTTCTCTGCAATTTTCCCTGCGTTTCCTTTCCCTTTCCCTCGTCCTTCTCCTTTCCCTCTGCCTTTGCCTTTTTCTTTTCCTTTCCTACTTCTCTAGATAAATTCCCAAAAGAGACATCTATACTGATGCCCTCGGCAACATACAGACTTCGATCCCAACATTGAATTTGTGGATGTGGTATATATGCCTACTATGTTCTTATCAGCAAATTTGTGAGGAAACGTGTTTTGCAGTTTCGTGTACCGTCTAAAGATGACAATTTTCAACGCGATGAGGGGTTAAAGTAAAGTGCAAGCTAAAATTGTCAGGTCAAAGTAAATTGCAATCTGAAAAAGGGGTCCTTCTAATGTTATTCAGGCAAATATTAGATAACTGCATTTTCTTGTTATAACATAAATATAAATCGTATTTTCATGATTCTAAGCATCTAGCATATGAAATAGTATTGGTCCCAGATGTAATTTGATGCATAAGATCATATTTATCAAGAGTGACATGCTTCACAATTATATCGGCCGAAAATGAAGTTAATTAGAGCAGTAAAACGTAAGGAAAAGGTAGGCCGTTTGTAGTGTTTTACCAAGATTTAGTTTGATCATATAAGCAAAAGGAATTTACATATAAAGTATAACTTGTTCAATTAATTTTTTTGATGTATTGTGAAATTCATTGAGATATAGTAAAAACGATATATTGTTTTTTTTAATTTCAAACCGTATTTTATTTAATAAATTATGGGAAAATTTTCAAATAAAGGTTTGAAGTGCCCTTATTTTCTTAAATAATGGTCTGAAGTAGACCTTATTTCTAATAAGGACATGAAGTGACCAAATCATCTCAAATAAGGGCATGAAATAGCCAAATCGTCTCAAATAAGGACTTTTGGCCAGCCGGCCAATAGGTGACTATTACGACAAGGGTATTTTGGTCAAAAAATTCTAAGTATATTTTCTAAATTTTTAAATTTTTTTTTATTTTTCTTTTCTTTTTCCATCTTCCCTCTTCAAGTCAACGATGGCGGGTGGAGGTCGTCGGCCTCAAGCGAGGGCCACCCTTGCCTAGGCGGGCGAGAGCTGCCCTTGCCTGGGTTGGCGAGGGCGTTCCTCACTAGCATTGGGTGAGGGCCACCCTCGCCAGATCTGGCGAGTGCAACCCTCACCCGAAGCTGCCGTTGCCTGCTCTAGATCCGACGAGGGCAAACCTCATCCAGCATCACCAGCCCAAGCAAGGGTGAAGGCCACCCTCGCCCAGTGCCAGCAACTTGGAGAGATGAACAGAGAAGTGGATGCTCCCACAGTGCCCGAATTGCCGGCACCAGCACCATCGGTTGCACTCTTTTTCTTCTTTTTGAGAAAATTATAAGCTACAACGAATAGAAGATCACTAATAAATGAACTAAAAGTGAACGGCATATGCTTTACCGGGCCAAGTGCGCATCTTCCGAACAAGTTTGGACACATGTGAACTTATCATCTTTAATAAACCGGACTTCTTATACAGGTGCCAATTAGATTTAATAGTAATTTATAGCCTCAGAAGCAGTTTATAACAAGCGGAGTTGTTTGCCTTCCCTCGAGTTAATGCAAGATTGAATTGGTCCACTCAGACAGAAATGATTATCTCTCAAAAAAATTATACAGATATGTAGTGATTTCTCTCGCTTCTTAGCGTGTAGGAGTGAGCACAATTCCAAGACAGAACCTGAAACCTGAGAATCAGACCGGTAGGAACCTGTCGATTTTAGGTTCCAGGATATGTAGGATAGGTTCCAGGTTCCAAAAATTGGAGAACCTGTTTTGACGGATAGGTTCTAGGTAAGTGGAAACTAAAATATGGAACCTAAAATAAGGTTTTGTGTTTTTCTTAGTCTATGTCTTCGTGCGATCCTGTGATATTCCATATCATTCGATAATTAGTATATAATCTGGAACCACTAATTTGAGCTTCCATTTTATGATTGAGACTTTTATTTTGTTAATGATTCATATTCTTCGTGTGTCTAAATATAAGTTTTGGTCAGTGAATTATAGCAGCAAGTGGTGATCATTAAAAATGATAATGCACTGCAATCATTCAATTAATAATACAAGTGGAACTTGAGTAAACCCTGAAACTTATGACATGATAGGTTCCAAGTTCAAAAATATGAGGAACCTGTTTCAACAGATAGATTTCAGGTTTCAGGTAAAATTTGTACGGAATTTGGAACAGCTCACTCCTATTCACGTGTCAAAGAATGCAAAATATTCGGTTCCACTCTAATTGCTTCTTTCTCAATCTAGAATGGCGGGAGTCACTCCTGCCAATTGCATCGTTTGCAATTGGAGAATCACAAGTTAATAGCATCTAGTGTCTTAGAAAGAAATTTTCTCGCCATATCTGATTTCATTTAGCTGGTACACAATATCAGTGGCTATGTCGGAAGACGTCCTCTGACGAGGCAGCCAGCTTTCCATATGTTCTGGGGAGTCTCCTGGTTCCTTGAACTAATATGGGCAACCGAAAGAAAGAAAAGGCAAATCAATGCATAATTTTTGTTAGAATAATTAAATATTAAATCACGTTTTCATCTAACTGCTTAAGTTTTTAGAATAGTTGACAGTAATCTCATCAAATCTCATAGTTTTCCTGCTTGGTGTCTTCCTGGTCAATTCATGGTAACTGATACGAGCCCCTAAGGAAGCAAACTAAAAACCACGAGAAAAAGTAGCGATCAAGCGGCTGCCCTAGTTATTAACTCTGATTTAGAATTGTCTTTAACCCTTGCTCATTTACATGGGATATGTAGGAAGTATCGAGATATAACGAAGAACAGGTTCACCCGGCGTGGGTGCTCCTGCAAGTAGTGTCACTGTTATTGCACAATGAAAAAGAAGTCTAGTTCTTCGTTCAAAACTGATTGCATAATGGTCCAATACTGAAACCAAGGAACATTCTCGGGCATAATATTATCACGAAAGGAAAAAGAGGAAAGCTCCTTAATGATATTGAGGAGAAAACACTGGTTCCTCGGTAAAAGTCGAATGAAGCTTTGCTTGTTGCACTTCAATATAGCCAGGAATATTAATTCTTCAAAAATTCATCTCTCATATAAACTCGGAGGAATTTGCAAGCTCTAAGCTGGAGAAGTGTTCCAACATTTGGCAATGTCTTCTACACTTAAAATTCTTCCACAGGAAGCTGCAATATGTAGTCAATCCCAAACTAGAGCCTCTATAAACTGCATGAATCCCGGTAACAATTCAAGAAATGGCATGTCGTGATAAGTTAATTTTCATAACGATAAGGCAAGTAACAGCAAATATAAATCAACAAATCTGACCTAAAAATTCATGAGAAGATGTTCTACTTTAGTCACCTGTTCCCTGTGTTAGTAAAAGAAACGCGGCATATCAGGTATCCAAGCAAGTTAACCTCCAAAGTGTCTGTACATGCACATCACTGATCAATCTCGTGTTGAAGATTAAGAACTGGAGTTGTCTACCCGTGATTATATCAAATCTACTTAGAGAAGGTTTCCAACTGGGTGCAGTAGTTCCACTCTAGAAATGAACAATTGCCGGGGCATCAACTTCTTTCCATTGCTTGAACTATATATAGTGGAAAGAAAAGATAATAGAAAAAGCCGTGAAGGAAAATTCCCTTCTTGAAACAGATATCAAATTGCTTTCTGTAGCCGCAAAGGAAAGACAGGAAATAGCTATTGACAGGGCATCGGTGATCACCTTCTTTTTACTTTCTCAACTTCGACATGGCAGTAGAACTATATGCAGCCCATCAGCTGAAAGTGATAGTCCCATACAAGGGATGGTGCATAGGTTCTTCATAATTCTGTATGATGTGTGTTCCAGGTAATTCTGGTATTGTCAGTGACTTGCATCCAGAAATATCCACTTGCCACAGCGAGGCCAAGTCTCCAAGTCCTGTAAGCTCAATAAGTTTCTCGCAGTCTCTTACGACCAAACATTTCAGGTTCTTGCACAATGACAAATCTGGTAGATGCTCAATGGACTTGCATCTTGACATATCTATAAATTCTAATGATCTCAATTCTTTGAGCTCTGAAATATCCAGAAGTTCATGACAATCTTTCACTATCAACTCTATCAAACCTTCAAATTTTGAAAGGTTTGGCAGTTTCTCTAGGGACTTGCATCCATCAATATATAGCCATTGGCAGGATGAGAATTTCTCCAGGGTCTGAATATCACGTAGTTTTTCGCAGTGGTTGATGTTCAGAAACTTCAGGGTCTTGAAGCATGAAAGGTCTGGTAATGTTTCGATCGATGTGCACCCAGAGATGTCCAACCATTCCAAGTACTCCAAGACATCAAGACCTCGGACTTCACATAAATTCTTGCATTTGGAAGCCCAAAAATATCTCAGATATTTCAATTTTGCAATATCCAGTCTCTTAATGGATGTGCACTCAGAGATATCCAACCTTTCCAAGTATTCCAAACTGTCAAGGCCTCTAATTTCAACTAGATTCTTGCATTTCTTAACATTTGCTTTCCTTAAAAGCTTCAAAGATGAAAGGTCCAGTCTTTCCATAGACTTGCAATCAGTGAGATCCAAAACTTCCAAGCAAATGAAGCTATTAAGAACTTGAATTTCAACTTGATTCTCGCAACTTGGAAGCACCTTTAAATTACTCAGTTCCAAACGATCCATCAACCTCTCTAATGCTTCCGACGGTCCTATGCTTAAGTACCTCAGAGACATCAAACATTCTACCCCATCAAGCCTAGATAACTTTGGGCACTTCAACACATCCAACATTGTTAGCGACACTAATCCTTCCAGACCTTTAACTTCTCTCAATTCAGAGCAAACCTTCAGACTCAACACTGAAAGATGCTTCAAGTTTGACAAATCTGGCAACTTTCTCAGCATTTGGCATGCTGTAACAGAAAGCTTCAACAGTTCAGACGGAAGCTCTTGGAGGCATTCAAGTGTACAGCACTCCATGACACTAAGTTCCTTCAGATTTATTAAGTTGGAAAGGACTGGCAATGTAGGACTCTGACAAGTGAGACCTAGAGTTCTCAAGCCAGAGGGAAGGTTTGGCAGAAATTGAAGCTTGTTGCACCCTCGTAAATCAAGGTCTTGGAGACAAGAAAGCTTACAGATGCTTTCTGGCAAGCCATAAATGCCTGTCTTGAACAATCGGAGGGCCCTCAATGAGGACAATTCCCCAATATCACTGCAAACTTCTCCTCCTAGGATATTGCAATTTGTGGCATCTAATTCGGTGAGTTTCCCCAACATCCCAATAGCACTAGGTAACCTTTTTACATTTGACCGCGCCATTTGCAGAACTTCTAAATTACACAAGTCTCCAATGGATTCAGGTAACTCTGTAAAACTTGTGTATGATATGTCCAGCTCAATTAACGATTCCAACTTGCCAATTGAGTTGGGGATCCCTCTCAATGAGCTGCATTCCTTTAATGATAAGCACTGCAGTTTCTGAAGGCACCCTATGGAGTCTGGAAGTTCAGCAAGCTTTTTGCATCCCGTAAAATCAAGGGTTGACAGAGATGCTAGATGGCTTAAGGAGCTGGATATTCGAGCCAATGATTCACAATACTTGGCACTAAGAGTCCTGAGCTTCTTCATTGAACCTTTAGACATGTGAATTTCTTCCATCCGAGTTCTATCTATAAAAAGCTCCTCTAATTCTTGTAGCTGACTCACTTCTATTGGTAGTTCCTTGAGTCTGAAACAGTCTCTCACATCTAGGGAAATTAGGGTGCTGATGTTTCCAATAGAAGGGTGAACTTTTGTTAGATATTCACACTTTTCAAGAATTAAAATCTCCAGATTTTTAAAAGCTGTGAGATCAGGAGATGTTTTCAAGTCCTGGCAATTAGTAGTGTTAAGAACTTTCAGATTACTTGCCACCTGTACGAAGAAAAACATAGACATGAGCCACTGAGAGTAAGTGATCATTTTTAAAAAATATAAAATATTTTCATCTTACATTGATTTGATTCCATCCTTCCCAATGATCTGTGACTTTGCTCCTTGATAAGTCAAGAACGACTAATTTCTCTGCGTGAAAATTGGTTGCCACAAAATTTGGCGGACAATTTTTCCAATAGAGCCATCGTAATTCAGAAAGAAGATACTCAAAATCTCCAGAGAGGATTAAATTATTCATCTCAAGGAACCTTAGTTTTGGTAGCTTTTCAAATGGTTTATTGCTGTACACCCTGCCTAAGCCACTTTGGTTAAGACAGAGGGCTTTTATCTTTTTAGATCCCTGAAAGAAAGAATGCCAAAAATCAGAAATATAGCATCATGACGACTAACTAAGCATGTTGTTTTGATATAAATCCTCTTAGGCTTCAAACTAAATCCAATTAAAACATGGTTGCTGCTAAACTCTTCGTATAGTATTTTTCAACAAATTTATCATACAAAACTAATCAGAAAGCTAACACATAAAATGCTTAACACTACTACAATTAAGTTTGCTAAAAAAACCTTAGGTTGCAGGCTTTAATGAATAAAACTCCATAAGTTAGCTGAGAACCTCTGTTTATCACAGAAGAGAGCCCTCTAGGGACACTACTGCCATGAATTACCAACTTGTATTATGCAATGGGTACCACAATGTCGAAAATAATACAAACAGGCCTTCTTTTAACTAGGGCAGGAGTAGTTCAATATGCTAACTTCTTCTTCTTCATTATGGTAAATAAGAAACATCGACTAAGAAGGAAAAAGAAAATCAAAGAAAACTCTCACCTTATTCTTCTCTAGAACATGTAAGGCTTCCTTGTGAATCCATAATCTACTACGTTTCCAGGACTCGTCATAGTTTTCCTGCCGGACAATTTCCCTACCTAGATCTCTCAGTTGGTCATGCATTAACAGCCTATGGTCATTTCCAACTTTTATCAGGGACATCAAACTCAATGCTTCAATTCCCATCCCTGGGAAAAATTCACAGTCATCCCACATATAGGATGCAATTCTTCCGTCAGTTCCAGCAAAAAAACAGGCAATATCCAAAAATATCTGTTTTTGCTCATAATCCAATGCTTCATAACTTACCCTTAACTTCTCTTGCACTTCCGTATGTGGTATTTTCCTTAACTTCTTCAACGTATCTTTCCATACTGCTAGGCGTTTTCCGCACAAGAATGAACCTATAACCTCGAGTGCTAAAGGAAGCCCTCCTGTAGTGGACACGATATCACGCGAGAGATCCCCAAATTCAGGCAAAGGGAAGTCCCTTCTGAATGCATGTCTACTAAAAAGAAGCAAAGAGTTGTCAGGATCCAATCCGTTGAGTTCATACGAGTTGTCCACCCGAGGCTCATCAAGAAAAGTCAGTTTTCTTGCCGTAATAATGATCTTACTTCCGGAAGCAAACCAGTCACGTTTTCCAGCCAAACAGTTCAACTGATAAACATCATCTACATCATCGAGAAGAATGAGGACTTTCTTATGCCTAAATCTAGTTTTGATGATTCTAAGTCCTTCATCGACATTGGAGACATCATTGTGTTTTCCTTTTAGGATATCGGAGATTAGTTGGTTCTGCAAATGGTGGGCACCCCTCTCTTTTGATGTTTCTCGTACATCTGCCAAGAAGCTACAGTGATCGAACTGACTGGAGAGTTTATTGTACATGACCTTGGCCAGAGTCGTCTTACCAGCACCGCCTATTCCAAGGATTCCAACAAATCGAGTATCACTGTCATCAGTACTTAACATTCTCATAATCTCCTCTACATGATTACTAATCCCGACCAAGTTCTCGGTGACATCCAACTGAAAAGCTTCCTTTAATTCGCCCAAAACCTTCCTGACAATTATCTTTACCAACTCAGCTTCATGTCTGTGAAATGACAGCAAAGTTCAATTCAAGAAAACCATCATCAATATCTCCGCGAAGCACATCCACCGCATATAAACAGGAAGCAAAAACCAGCCAATTGATGAAAACCCATCATCTTTTTTCCGCTGTAAAAGTGATCACGGCATAAAATTTGCAGACTTTAGATCTAGCTAAGCAAGACCATGAGTGAAAAAAGAAGTACCCGTTAGCAATTCTCTCTGATTCCCATCCCTTTAAGCTTCCTACTTCCTGGAGAGCTCGCTCCCATTGTCGGACCACCTCTGCCTCATGATGCTTCTTAATTGTATGAAAGGCCTTCCCGAAACTCCCCGTCTGGTGTCGCACGTGCCCGGGCTCCACTTTGTAGAATATGGGCAAGACTACGTGCCCTTCACTTCTCTTGCACTCGATCATCCGGGCCAGCTCGCGAAGGCACCATTTGCTGGAAGCGTAATCCGGGGAGAGGATCGGGATCGAGATCTTACTGCTCTTGATAGCTCGGAGAAGATCCGGGCCGATCTTCTCGCCGATGCGGAGCTCGTCGTCGTCCCTGAAGACGGAGACCCCGGCGTCGACGAGGCTGTTGTAGAGGTAGTCGGTGAGGCCGGTGCGGGTGTCCCTGCCGCGGAAGCTCAAGAACACCTCGTAGTCGTTCCCCGAGGCCGACGGAGCGGATTCCACCAATATGGGTCCGTCGGGTTTGATGCCTGCGATGGTTTCCTTCTTCTTCAGGAAACGGGGTGCGAGCACGGCGAGAAGGATCGATGCGATGGCGACGGCCAAAGGATTACGCATTGCCTCACCGACTCCCATTCTGGGTTGAGCTTTGCTTCGAACCTGGGAAGAACAAACCGGGAGATCTGCGCTCACACGCTCGCGCTTGCGAGGGAGGGTTTAGTCGGCCATGAAAAGCATTTCTCGGTCGGTTCTGACTTTGTTCTGGAGCGAGTCGATTTCCATCTTGAAATGAAGAACGGTTCGATCGAGTATCATAATCATTATGTTTTTTCTGTTTTTTTTTTCAAGAACAGGTTTGAAATAAAAATTTGTTTCGTAACACAATTTTATTAATCTATTTCTGAAACAAATTTTGATTTCAAAAATATGTTTGAAATAGAAATAAAAAGTAAAAAAATTTTATTTTTCTATTCCTTGAATAGAAATGAGAAATAAAAACTCATCTCATCACTTGTCTTTATTACCAGCCAGCCGCCCACCCGCCTCTCGCCACCTGTTGCCGGCCGCCTCGTTCCTCTACAAAACTCGCGGTTTCATAAATAAAACAAAACATATTGCTCGGTCAATACCTTGTCTTCAATTTTTGTATGGTTTATGCTATAAAAAAATAAAATATAAAATACTCTAGGCCGTCGATACAGATTCAGGAGCTGAACTAGTTATTATGAGTTCCAAAAATTTGGAATCGAGAATTGGACGGATTTCCGCCGGAACCACCAGAACCGACCAATCGGGTTTGATCTGGTTCGAATTGGACCGGGACCGATACACACCCCTACTTTCAATCCTCCATTTTTTAGAAAAAGTTTGGAGAAATGGCCGTGGTACAATTGCCTAATTCAGTTTCAATCCCTCTCGGTCATGTTTCGTTACATATTTACTATTTAGTTACCCAACTTATCTCTAGTCCAGCCGAAATTTAAAGATAAAATTCAATTTTCCATTGAGACCTACAAAGTTATCACTGACAAGTAGAGGTGGCAAAATGGGTCTGAAAAAATAAGCCCATAGAAAATATTAATAAATATTAGCTTAAAGAAGGATCACAAGCACTTTTTAAATTTTTCCATTTTTCTTCAAATAAGGGTTTGAAATGGACGTTGTCTCAAATAACGATTACGAAGTGCCCTTTCAAAAAAGGCCTTGCCGAATAAGGGCCGATTCAAAGAAGTGGCCTTATAACGGGTTTCAAAGAATGGCCACTTCAAACCCTATTAGTAGACGAAAGGGCATTTTTGTCATTTACTTTTAAAATATGGTCAAGTTGGGTATGGATTAGAACGGGTGTGGGTCGCTTGAATTATGTTGTATGAAAATAGGTCAAAATGGATTAAATGGATCAATATGGGTCGGATCATTTTCGATCTGACCCAAACTCGACTCAACTCACCCATTTGACAAGTTTAACGACAAGGCGACAAATTCTACAAGCTTTTAAAAAGTTACGGTTTTGGGGTTTCATACTTTTAGCAATATTAAATTTCAGTCCTTGTATTTCATTTTAATGACAAAACCGGTCCTTATATTACCCTTCAAAAAAAAAATTCCGTGACATCTACATCCGAAAATTATAGGAGTCGAAACATAAGGATTGAATTGGACTATTTACAAAAGTACGAGGACCAAAAGTGTAACTTATTTTAGAAACTTGAACACGTGTACACTGCAGGTCGATTTATCGATCCAGTATACTCTGCTAATATTTTGATGAAAATTTGAATTTTGTCCTTCAATAACCGTTGGAGATAAGTTAGGGAAATAAATGTATAAAGAGATATAGTACAAGGACCATCATTGAATTCGAGTAAAAGTGCAACGACGGTTTCGTGAACTGAGTAAAACATAAAAGTTATGAAAAATTATAGGGAGTAACTGAAATGTATTCTTAATTCATATTTTCCTTTATTCACTAGGCTAATATAGTAAACCATGTATAAAAATGAAAAAATCGCATCTTTTACAAATGGCAGGTACTTGAAAATGTGAGAAGTTCATATTTAACAATAAGCATTACATAGCGATCGCATGTACCAATTTCCATTGCACAATCATCTACTAAACTTTGTATTTCGACTCCGGATAATTTTGACATCAGCACTTCAATCCTAAAAATCAATTGGAAGAACAATAAAGAGAGTCAAACGATATCTAACTTATGACATGAATCGAAGTCTCTATATAATAAATAGGAAAAATTTACCGGCTAAGCAGTTGAATTGAACTATCGTAACCCATTTGAATTTCTCATTCGCATCTCTACTGTCAGCATCATGACCCTTTCATCTGCTCCAATCCGTCTTCAGATGTTCTATATGATTAACTTGATTTCTTTTTCTCTATTTGTTTCTCATTCGCATCTCTACTATCGTTTTTCTCCCGTCATTCCACCATATCGGTGACGTGCATTTCCTTCCTCACGGTGCTTCACCATGTTTCTAATTTGACCATCTGCCCCGAGGAGAGAACACAACACTAAACTTCAAGGTAGCCTTCAAAAGCTTTATGTGAACCATCTCCAAATCCAAGAACCAATTTTCTAATCTCTATGTGAACAAAGCTAACACAAAACTCCATGTTGCCGATATAGAGATTGGCCTATCTATTTTATAAGTAACGGACTAAGATCGGCGAGAAGTTGAGCATGGTTTCTGGTAAGTTTATCGACTGTCACCCAACTTCATTCTTGAAGCTAAAGTGTTCTCGAGGACTCGACATAGAACGAATGATAATGTGCTCCAAATTATATTCATGGATCAAAAGAGGTTGCAGATTATGTTCGCAAACATTCACGGACACTATATACTGCGATTTTTCATGCTTTTGCTACTAGAATTCCCAAATCAATTCAGCAGGAACAAAATGGTAAATAAATCGAAATTGAACAATGAACTGCAAGCTCGACCCAAACAAAACGTAGGAACTGGTCCAGGACAAGCATGGTAAGAAAAACTGGTTTGGAGGTCACATGGTTTTGAAGCAAAGCTTCGAGGCAATACGTTACGAACTTATTGCTCCATCCTGTCCTGAGTCATGGAGTATAAATTTCAAGGCGGTGGGTACTCATGCAAAGTTATGTGTATTTTGTTCCTGACCATTTTCCCATCACTCCGCATGCTCCTAGGCACCGGCGTCCGCTTCAGATTGTCGTGAAAATCGTGAGCTAACTTTTCCTTCGCAGCACGATTCGCATTCTCGGGGAGCGTCAACTCATGGTGATAATCCTTTTCCAGTCTCGCTCTCACCTTCGTCTCCATGGACCAGGTGAGATGATGGGCTTCCTCTAACGCGCCACAAACCTGCTCAACTACCCTCTTGATTAACTCTGTTTCCTGCCTGTCGAAGAACAATGAAGTCGAGGACGTAAACTAGAACCTGAATACTCATTTAAACTTGAAAAGAAATCATTTTGCGCATCTTTCATGAATCTCGATGTTTCAAGATAGCTGGGTATACGAAACCGGGCTAATATATCGCGTCGCGTTCATGTAATCATTCTTTCTTGTGTGTGATAAAAAGAAAAAAAAAAAACTTACTTAAATACACATGTGAGGCTCGTTCGGAGACTAGGCAGAGAAGCATGAAAAATTTGCGGACAGATGATCTTTCGTTTTTGTCGACGGATATGATAATGATAATGAAAGAAATTTTGTTTTTTCCAATAACTAAATTGTTAATTTTTCGTGAAACAAACGCGGCCAAAATCGTTGATGGAAGTAGATGAGGTATTGTGTTGGCAAAAGGAAAACAGAGGATATCATGAATACAAAAAAGGCAAACAAGGTCTGTTTAGAAAATAAGACGTACCCTCTCCCGGATTCATCTCCCAATCTGGAACAGACTTCTCGGAGCGCCTGCTTCCAATCCTCCACAACCCGTTCATCGAACCACTTCGTACCGGATCGGAATCCCTCCCCGAAAATCCCCACCTGGTGCCGCACCTCCGCTGGCTTCACCCCGTAAAATACAGGCAACACCACATACCCATCACTGCGTCTCTTGCACTCCATCATCTGTGAGAGCTCACGGAGGCACCATTCTCTCGAGCCGTAGTTTTTCGAGAGGATTGGGATCAATATCCCAGATCGCCTAATCGCGCTGAGAAGCTCTGGTCCAAACAGCTCGCCTGTGTGGAGCTCGTTGTTGTCTCTGTAGACGCAGACTCCCGCTCCGACCAGGCTCCTGTAGAGGAGGTCAGTCAGGCCGGCGCGAGTGTCTCCGCCGCAGAAGCTCAGGAACACTTCGTAGTAATCTTCTTCTCCTTCTTCCGCGACTCGGGGGTCTCGCGAATGATCTGCATAAGTGTTCCTTCTTGGCATTTTTTCGGTGAGAAAACCACAACGTCAATGCACAGCGGCGAGGAGAAGAGACGAGTGTTTGAATCGGATCGACCACCCCAGGTACTCCTAATCAAGAAGTTTGTGTGCGCATTTATACAATGGAGGAAGAGAACAAGTCTTCACAAAGGGGGTACTATTCTATCTTCGTTGCTTTCTCGTTCAGCGAACTCTTGAGGACGGCCACAGGAAACAGCTACGAAGAATCCAACTTGGGGTGTTTTGCTCTTGAGGGAGCCAAGAGACACTCTGATTTGCGGAGGAGTTCGCGTCAACTCAACGCATTCCGTGTGGGCCTTACTTGATAAGTATTATCTTTCGTAAAAATGTTCTTGTTTGGTGCTTACATCATTTTCATAGACTCTTTCAAGTTTCTGGAATGAGATGAATTATAAAATGTCTTGGCCCCGCGCTTTCCCCTTCAATGCCGTCACGTTCGCAAGGCTGACTGGAAAAACGACATATATAATCGCAAAGAAAAATCGAGTGAAACTTTCCATGCATCATCATGAGATGCAAGAAATTTTGACCACATAGAGAATTTAGCGTTCACACGTTCCGATACATCAATGGCATGAGATTTCACCTCTCAAAAAATAGTAATATATATCGGCTTTTCTAGGGAAAATTGTTCCAAAAGTCCTAAACCTATTGCATTTTTGCCGATTCAGTCTTAAACTTTTCAATTTTGCCAATTGAGTCATAAACCTTTTTACATTTTGCCAATTGAGTCCATCCGGCCAATTTTGGTTCGAATTCACTGACGTGGACGTCAGTCGCCCTACATGGTGCACGTGGATAATTTTTTAATAATATTTTAATATTTTGTTCGAATTTTTTTTATCTTTCTTTTCTATTTCCTTTTATTCTTTTCTTTCTCTTTCTTTTTTTTTGCTTCCTTCTTCCTCTGGCGAGGGCGAGCCTCGCCTACCGCACCACGTAAGAAAGCGGACGTCCAAGTCAACGATTTTCGGTCCAAATTGGCCAGATGGACTGAATTGGTACAAATGCAAAAGGATTATGACTCAATTGACAAAAATAAAGGTTTAGGACTGAATATGCATAATTGCAATAAGTTTAGGACTTTTTTGGTAATTCTCCCTAAGTTTTCTTGACTTCCGGTCTCTTGGACTTTTTCCTCCTTCAATTTGCCAGACTATGATAGGTTGATCTGTATTTAAAGCGAAATACCTCAAATCGTTGCAAAGTATCCAAATGTTGACATATAAAATCATTTATAATTCCTTTACAATTCTATAGAACTCAAAACAATTTTAATTCATTTTTAAAACTTAGGAAAACAAAGTCATAACTAGAAGCCATGAGTAAAATATACCGATCGGTTGGATAAATATTCTGAGAACATTTCCTAGACTATTTTACAGATTAATTAAAAAATAGTAATATCGGTTTTTCTATGCTAGGTTTTCGTTCTAAGCTTAACTGTTTTATTTTAAGCATTACTTTGGATTCTGAACGAAGAAATACTTCCTTTCTGAAAGGAACTTTAGGCCTTTTGAGCACTAGCTAAATTTGTGCCACGAAAAATCATAAATTGGTATACTTGTGACAAATTTACCCAAACTATTTTTTTTACCACCAAAATCTCCAAACTAGTACACTTGTGACGAATTTACCCCAAACTAATTTTTTGACCACCAAAAACCCTAAACCGGTATATTTGCAGCAAATGTACCCTCCGTTAAATTGGATTAATATTACGAAAAATCACAAACTGATACACATGTAACAAACGGAGGGTAAAACCTTAAATTGGTACACCCATCAACTGCTACGTGTCATCCGACAAAGAAATTTGACGGTAAAATTAAACGAAAACTGACATAAGGTAAAATTGTCACAGGTATACCAGTTTGGGGGTTTTGGTGTTCAAAACATTAGTTTGGGATAAATTTGTCACATGTGTACCGGTTTAATTTTTTTCATAGTATTAACCTTTTGTTGTTTCCTACGTTTTGATGCAGCTTGTGTTTTTACTTATTGACGTTAGTGGTTAGTAATCTCAAGAATTAGAGATAAATGTAGACTTTCCTACATTGTAATGCTAATGGTAACACTAATAATAACACCTTCTATGTTGGAGCAAATTTTGGCCACCACATTGAATTCTTTGTGGCGTATGTATATAGGATGTGATGTTTCTGATTTTTCGGGTTCTGCCTTTATATGCGTGCTAATTAGGAAGAAGGCAAGGTAAAACATATTAGCGGATTCTATGCCATTTAATCGAAACAAATTGGTGGGATCATTATGTAAGAAAAGGACCTGGTCAAGTTGACATGCAAGCATTATATGATTCTTAACGTAATGTCGAAATGGCTTAACGGCTAAGTCAGAACGAGCCTCGTACTTTTTCTTGGGCCAACAGGATATGCGAAGTTGAAACAGTATTAAATGAATGATATCATAGAAATATGGGTGGGTGCTAGGTAATGGGACAGATAGTGTGCATAAGCAAGCGATCGAATGATAAATTTGACAGAATAAGAAAATAAATCGGACATTAGATTTACGCGATTCGATCGAAGTGACCACATCCATGGGAAGAACAGCAAAGAATTCCACTATAGATCAAGCGATGTAACGGAGATTACAACCACACTCGAGTCACTCAGACACTCTTAGTATTTCCTAAACCCCAATTACACTAAATAACGTACACAGTGTTTAACCCCATAATTTATCATGAAATAATCTCTCAATCTCACGAAGGAATTATACACAAATTCTTACCACAAGAATTTAATTAGCTTCAACACAAAAATTCTTGATGTAATTTCACTAACAAAACCAGTGAACCCACTGCCAAGTACCCGCTTAGAAACGGCGCTTCAATATTTCTTCGTTTTATCAACAACGGCGTACAAGAGAGGGAAACATATCAAAGTGGGATTAGTCAACAAAGTCAACTGTCCTATTTTCTATCTGACAGCTCCTCCAAGACGTTCCCTTTCATTTCTTGACCGAATCAAACAAGAACTACCCTTTTTGTTGTTATCTTGATCGTGACTTCACCAACAATCAGCAAAGTGCCCCTTTTTTTCTTTTATTCTTTGGTCGACTTTAACGCGAAATAGAAGGAAATCCCTGTAGAGCTAATATTCAATTTTCAACTTTAAGTACCAAATAATTTAATTCTGACCGAATTCGTTCAACGAGCTTAGACTCGAGATATGATTTCAACAAATAAAATCAAAAGAACTCAAGGCGCTTTTATATGGTCTCTTGAAGGATCAATTCCAATCGTGTAACCCCTTGTGGTCACATATAATTCATTGTAAGATCGTATACGAAGTGCAGTGACGTACGAAAGTTCACATATTTTTCAATTAATAGTTGTGATTCATTATTTTGTGATCCAAGGGCTACCAATCGCCCCGAGGAACAGTCTCTGAGGAGACCGTGGAAATTTCCCAAAAACTCTCAGATAATGCTTTTGTGATCCAATGGGATGGAAGTCAGGCTTCTGAAATTATGGAGTTAATTCAAACTTGTATGAGGGATATTGGGGCGATTTACAGATTTATATATAGACTAATTATGGACAACCAATGAAGCAGTTTGTTGAAACCTTAATTTTGGCGACATGTTTAGTCGCTTATTGCATAAAAAATTAGTGCTCAACCCCATTATTGATTTGCATGTTAGGAGTATTTGCACTAATAGTAACAAACCCATACAAATTCCATCTTAATTGGACTAGTGCTAAATGGACTTAAGCATAGAGACTCTGAGTCCGCCGGAGCATGAAATTTGGCCAAAGCCCATGGTAGCCTAAATTAGCATGTGGATCACTAAAAATTTGGGAAGATTTATCTCTCTGACCAAATCCGAAGGTTTGCCCTCGCCAGCCTAGGCGAGGGCTGGCAAGCTCACCAACCTAGGCCTAGGCGTCCCTCGCCTAATGAGGGCTGATGATGGCCGGCGGAGGGAAAAAGGAAAAAAGAAAAAAGAAAAAAGAGAAGAATAGGAAAAAGTTAATGAAAATTCGAAAAAAAATATTAAAATATTATTAAAAATTGTCCATATCAACGTTGGTCATGTCATGTAGAACGGCCGGCGTCTACGTTAGCAATTTCCGATTAAAATTAACCGAATAGACTCAATTGGAAAAACGTAAAAAAGTTTAAGATTCAATTGGCATAATTAAAAGGTTTAAGACTGAATTGGCAAAAGTGTAATAGGTTTAGGACTTTTTGGACAATTTATTTGTTGGCGAGGGAGGGTTAGTCGGCCATGAAAAGCATTTCTCGGTCGGTTTTGACTTTTCACGGGGACCAACGGTGGGTTGACACCTATTTTTAATTTACCCAAAATTAATTATACAAAAATTTAGGGGTTAATGTCTTTAATTCTAAAACAAAAAAAATTTAATATTAATTAAATTTCATTTAGATATTTGGCATATTAAACTTCAATTTCACTAATTAAAGTTTTTCTTTAAAAAAATAGAAAATCAGAAAAAAAAATTTCTGATCGGGCCGGGTCAAGGCCGGCCCCAACCTGGCCCTCTCTTCCTTTCTCCTCCCCGCGGGCCCAGTCCCTTCCCTTTCTTTTTCCCCCTTTCTTTCTGGGTCGGGCCGATCCAACCCACTCCCTTTCTTTTCCCCCCGCGCAGCCCCGAGCCTCCCTCCATCCTCTGTCTTTCCTTTCCCCTTTCTCATCATCGTCGTAGGGCTTTGCCGTTCCACCAAGTAAAATGAACGGAAGGGGGAGCACTCAGTGAAGGGCAATCAATGCTCTACCCCCATCCTCTCTCCCCCCGAGCCAAGCATGCCTCCCCACCCGCCTAAAATGGCCACAAAAGCCAAGAGTAGGCATAGGCAGCGATGCAGAGCATTGAACGGAGGAGTTATGGAGCAGATGCAAGTGGCCGTCGGGCATAAAAAGACCAGAGAAGAGAGAGAGATAGGGGGGCCCAAAGCGAATTTTCAGAGGAAAAAACAGATAGAGAAGAAAGAAAAGAGCGAGACAGAGAGCAAACCGCACGAGAGCGAGTGAGTGCAAAGCGAGAGGGAGCCCCGACCAGCCTCACCGTCGCCTGCAAGTCGGCTGACGATCCCCTAGCCGGAGCCGAACCACTAAGCTCCTCGAGCCCCTGTTTTCCCCTGTTTTCTTAGCACACCGGCTATAGTCCGTGGCCATCCATTTCGCGCGAACTCCGGCCCATGATGTCCTTGATTTGGGTCCGAAT